TTGTGGGACGGGGAAGGGGGACCCCAGAAACAGGGTTTTTCAGGCCCTGAGCCTGGAGGGGAGAGGTGCCCTCCCCTCCCCCCACCACCCACGTGGCTCCATGGCAGGCACAGAGACAGCACACCGGGCGTGGAGAGGAGGCAAGAGAGAGTTTATTGTTGGGAAGGGGTTTATAAGGCTTTTAGGAGGGTCAAAGGGGAACCAATCACAAGTTCAGGGTCACACAAAAGAAACCATCAGGTAAAGGGTCAACAGCCAATAGGAAGGGGTTAAACAAAGGACCAATGGGACGCCTCGGGACACCTTTCCCAGGACACTCCTGCATGGGAGATAACAGTTGCTGTGGGGGGTGTTGGGAAGAAGAAACACGTGTTTGCAAAGGGACCACAAAGAGCCATTTTAAAACATGTTTAAACAAGTTTCTCATCAGATTCACTGCCACATGGATGGGGTACAGATGTCCCCCCATGCTCCACACGTGGGCTGGGGGTTGGAAGCATGAGGAGCTGGCTGGGAGCTGTCAGCCCCCAGGCTGTGTGTGAAGTGACTCCACTTGGAGATGAAGTGTCTGAGCGTATCTTTTTCTTTTTAATTCCAGCTGTATTGTTAGTTAATTGTAGTTTGACCTCCAGGGAGGTTTTCCGTGGCTCAGAAGGTGGCCTGGGATACCGAATTCAGAGCCTAGGGTGGGAATGGTTTCTTTGGCATTCATAGCATGAATTGTGCCAGCCTGATGCACAGAGCCCTGAGGACTGGAGAGCCCAGAGAGACAAAAAGGCAGGGGGAAACTGAGGAACTGTTAAGTATCTGAAGGGAGGGTGCCAAGAGGATGGAGCCAGGCTCTTCTTGGCACTGCCAAGACATAGGAGAAGAGGCAACAGGTAGAAACTGATGCCTGGGAAGTTCCACCTGAACATGAGGAAGAACTTCTTTCCTGTGTGAATGACTCTGCACTGGAACAGGTTGCCCACAGAGGGTGTGGAGTCTCCCTCACTGGGGATTTTCCAGAACCATCTGGACACAATCTTGTGCCTGCTTTGGCAGAGAGGCTGGTCCGGATGACCCACTGTGGTCCCTTCCGACCTGACCCATCCTGTGATTCTGTTGTGACCCCAAAGCCACCCAGCTTGAGCCCTTGGCTTCCAACTATACTGGGCACAGCAGATCCGCTGCCCATCACCACCACAGAGCTCTCACAGCTCTGGGATCTGCCCCTGCAGTCACCCCTGACTTTGCCATTGGAGTGGGGAAGGGGCTGGTTCCCCAGCCAGCTGAGCTACCAAAGACCTCCCAGCTGCTCCGTGTGCTCAGCTCTGCAACATCTCCTCAGGAAACCTCGGCAGAGGTCCACACTTCCCTTCAAAGAAAGTTTAGGAGCATTCAAATCACACTGAGCTGAAGACCACCCCTCTTCCAGCCACAGCTGTCTTGGAATGGACTGAAGTTAAAGCTTGTTTGCTAAAGTTGGTTTAGACTGGGCAAAGTCCTTGAAAAATCCAACTGTACTCAGAAGCTTCTCTGCCTTCACAGGGAAATGGACTGGCTGACCTAAAAGGTCTTTTCCATCTCTTATTTCTGTGGTTGTGTGATTCATCCCCCTTCTTTGAAAGTGTTTCCTACAAGAAACGTCTAGTAGAAGGGGAAAAAAGTGATACTAAATAATCTTTTCTCATTTCCTCTCCTCATTGTCAGAGAATATGAGAGGTGAGGGATGTGTCTGCTGTGACATTAACCGAGCAATGGAACAGAAAAGGCAAACCAGGATTCAGCTTAGCAGCCAAGAATGAACCTATTCATGCAAGGTGGGGTAGGAGGAGATGTTCTGGGGACGTCCTTTCCAGGAACACGGTTGTTCCTCACTTTCTCAGATCATGAGAAAACACTGAGCTGGAGAACAACAAACATCTCACAGCAAGAGAGGAGTGGCCACATCCCAACCCAGGAGAGGACCTCCCTCAGAGTGCTGATCCCAGGAGGCAAATGTAGCAGTTTCCTGGGATGCTCTTGGGAATCAGCAAAGCCAGCTGTGGGTTCAACATTCTTAACATTCTTCAGGAATTTCTCTCCCGTGACCTTGCCCAATTTCCTCTTAATTCATTCAGCTCCTGCCGTGAGGAGTTCCAGAGATAACCCATTGCAAGAAGCACAGTTTGTTATAAATCTTGCTTCTACAACCTTCACCTGAAGGCATGAAGTGGGGTTCGGTTTCATGTTGGTCCCCCACTAGATGTTTCAGGTAGGAAATGGTGTCCAAGGCATCACATAATCTCAGAAAGGAGAGAAAAAAGTCCTGAGGTCAGGTAAGACATTCCCCTGGGAATGTAGAGGGGCATCTTTCCATCCTGAAGCAGCCCTGAAGAGAGGGACTGGGAGTTACCCCAAACAAGGGCTCAGGAAAGGTCTCTTGGCTTGTAGCCACCAGGACACTCCTCAGCTTCCCATCCCCACTCTCCATCCCAGTCCCTGGAGTGCTCCCCCAGTCCTGTACAACCCCAGGGAAGTTGTCCCACCCCACTAAGATGTGTCCACCACTGTATCCCTCTCCTCTCTGGATTTCTGACACCCCAGTGATGAGGTTTTTCTCCTCTCAGTGGCTCTCAGGTGACTTTGGCTCATAGCATTGCACCACCTCAAGCCTTCTCGTGAGCCACAAACTGAAGATCACCAAATTATTCTTCTTTTTTTTCCGTGTTGGATAATACCTTTCAAACCATCCCATCTGCTAATCCCTGGTTTCCCGCATTCTCAGAGGCAAACATAGTGTGATATTCTAGAAAACAACCCCTTTCAACTGGTTTCTGCTTTAAAATTTGAGCGTGGGGTTGGGTACATTGTCACATCAGGTGATTTCCAGGCAGACTGGGGAGCCACCGTGTTTTGGGGGGAGCTGGTGCAGACAGGCTGGGACCCAACTCACAGCCACTACTCTGATGGCATCAGGATGGGAAGGCAGCAGGAGAAGGAGCTGCTGCCCCCAGAATGAGAGGGAAGTTGGGGAGGGACCAAAGGGACAAACCCCTGTAGGAAGACAAAACTCAGCATCTGATCCCGGTTCACTTATCAGTGAGGTTTTGTCAGGGATTTGGAGATCAGAGGTGGTTTGAATGATAATCACCCATCTTCAGCTGTTGTCCAGGAGATGTTTATTTGAAGAATTGTTGTGCCCATAATATAGGGCTTTCAGCTCTTTTTGTTTCATTGATTGAGTGGATTTTCATTCTCTATTTTCTTTAGTTTTGTGGGAGCAAGAGAAGCACTAAAAACCCGAAGTCCTACAGCATCACCTCTTTCTGCAAAATGCATTTATACAGTTTTGTTTTTTTTTTTAAATAAAGACCAAAACTTAAGTGCTTACAGCCAGGAAATCACCCCAAATTTGAACATTTGCCAGATACTGTTTCCACCCATAAGAATCTCTTTTCCAGACAACATTCCAGGACACTGGCTTTTTTTTTTTTTTTCTTTTCTCCAATGTAGCTGCTACTTCCACAAAAGGGGGAAAACATTTTTTTTTTTTCTGACACAGGAGAAGTGGGAGAGGAGGGAACCTGAGAGGTGGAAAGCTGGATCTACACAAGCCGAGCTTTGAATTTAAAATTTTTCCCTTTCGGGATTAAGGAGGAGAGTGATAAAACAAGGGAACAAATTTACAGAGGGAGACATCGACTCTTTCATCACGAGCAGTCCCTCAGCTGGCAGGGGAGGCTCCCGCTTGCCCACAAGTCGAGGGGCAGGATGCAGAAATTACAGGGCGAGTCTCTGCGGCTCACACTCCGTGGGAGGTCAGACTACATGCTCGTCGGGGTCCCTTCTGGCCCTAAAACCTATGAATCTATTGATGCTCTGAGGCTTAAAAAGCAGCAGCTGCTCCTATGCAGCACCTAGTTCTCATAAGCATTTGGAATAATGGATCCATATTGTGCCAATGCATACTAATGTTAATATACATTTGCAGCACACAATGTGATGGCTTTGGAGACACCCAGGTGTCAGATGGAATCAGTGTCAGTGACACACCGTACCAGGACTTCGAGGCAGGTCCCTGTTGGCTTCTCCAGAGGGAAGCTTTCGCTCCTTTGAAATTATTGTGTTTATCCCTCATGTTTACGGAGGGGAAAAAAAAAAATTATAATGAACGAATTGTGTCAGGCTTTCCACAGGACTGGTGTCCACAGTTTGTAGCCAGCCAAAGTCTGTTTTTCACAGGGTTAGAGATGTGGATGTGAGGGAAAACAAAGAGGGATGCTGCATGAGGAATGCCCAAGGACTTCAGAGGTGCAGCCTCCTGCTCTCCCTGCTGATTCCCTCTCATGCACCAGTGCAAAGAAATTAGGAGCCAGGGCCAGGGGCTGCTCCCAGCTCTGTCCCCGCTGAAGTCCGGAGAAGTAGCACAAAGCATTTGCGAGCCAAAGACCTGAGCCTGCCTCTGCTGGATTTAATCCCCCCGGCTTTCAAGTGCAGAATCAGGTTCAGATTCTGCAAAGGGAAAATGGCCTCTTTAATTGCTGCCTTGGGTTGGGATTGTGGGGCACAGAACACACTCCCACCTCCAGCCCTGCTCCCTCCGCACCCACAAGCCGTGTAGGGGGGTGTGCAAGGACTGCATGAGCAGGGTGGGGGCGTCAGGGGAAGGTTTGCACCCCAGATTTGTCCTGTATAATTCGTGAGGGTGTGGAAATGTGTGCAATACCTTCACATTTATGTAGACACAGAGAGATACCTTATTTTTTCACAAAACAAGCAAGCCTGCACCAACCTCACCGAAATTCCCTGCCCAAATTCCCTTGTCACGTTTACACGAGCCCACATGGGAAGCTGCCCAGAACATCATTTCTTTACAGGAACACAGTACAGTAGCAGACCACGCAGCAACTCCTCAACTGCTTGGATGCTCATTGTTCCCATAGGTAACTGCCCAGTCAGTCCCAGGGCTGGGAACAAGGACTTTGTCACCACCCAGGCACTGCAAGGGTTAAGGCCACCCCTGTGTCAGGACTCACCTAAAGCAAGGCCTGGATGGATGGAGGTCTCCTTGGAAGCGCCTCAGTCCTGCAGAGCATCGTCAGGGCTCCATCCCACACACCAGCTGAGCTTGAGGGGCCCTTCCAGGCTGGCCCTTGGCCATCCCCACCTCCCCCTGCAAGGATTTGCTTCCAATGGAAAAGCTAAACCTAAATTCCCCCACACTGGTTATTTTTCCTGCTCCAAAAGGAAAAAAAAAAAAAATCACGAGAAGAAAAGAAAAAAAAATTGAAAGAAACCAACAGCTTCCCAAGTCCCCAGTGACTCTGCTCCCCTTTGGCCCTCCACAGTACCCTGCTGCCAATCTTCTCTTCTGGCCTCTGGACACCCCGGAAAGCCCAAAATACCCAGGTGCCAATGGGAACCGCCTTTGTTGGAGCAGGTGTGGCTGCTTTTGTGGCCCTAATCATGGTTAGGAGAGGCAGGTGTGCATTTCTAGTGAGGTCAACAGAAGGAAATGGGGATGGAGGAGACAGAAAGCAAGGTGGCCGTGTGCCCAGGTGACAGTGACAGTCCAAGCATTGTCACAAGAACTGCACATTAGGCAGCTGATGAGGTTAGAGAGGTCCCATTCGGTCTTCCCATTCCCTGAGGCAATGGAGGCTTTATCACATCCCTGCTCAGCACGAGGTGCTTCTGCCCCGGCTTCTCACCCAGGTTGTGAAACGGGTGTTGGAGCGGTCTAGGCAAAACTCTCAGCCCCACTCCCGGCCCCGAGGCAACCCCAGGAAGGGCTCTCTCCTCTGGCCTGCACAGAGAGAAAAATCTCATCCCCTTGAATAAAAAGATGGGGTTGAGGGACGGTGTCGGCTCCCACAGAGCCTGGGTACGTCAGAGAAGGCAGGGCCACCGAGATGGGTGTTGCAGGGGGAATGTGCGTGTGCGAGGGCTGGTTCTGAGTGTGTGCATGAAACGTGTCACAGGGATGCGCTTCCCAGCCGTGAGGGTGTGGGGGATGAGGATTTGGGGTGTGCAGGAGGAGCGTGTGTGCGCGGCAGGGTCCGTGCACGCGCGTGGACGCGCCTGAAGGAACACAGGGAATGTGCAGGTTGGGTGGTGAACGCAGGGAAGGGAGATACGTGTGTGCAGCAGAGGATGAGGCAGACAAAGAGCTGTGCAGGCAGGCAGGGGGACACCCCCAAGCCCTTCACCGGGGTGTCAGGGCTGGGGGAGCCGGGTCAGCCCTGGTGGGGACTCCCCAGCCGTTTCCTCTCCCGGGAGGGTCAATCTGGGGGGGTGTGAGTGTGTGCAGGGACAGAAGCGTTTGTGCAAGTGTCCGAGTGTCTCCTCTCCGTGACACTCGGGGCTCACCACTTGGTTTTCTCGGCCCCCCCAGCGTGGGGCTGAGCCGTGGGGGTCCCCCCGCACTGCTCTGTCACCGCTCGGGGTGGGCAGGCACCGGCATTCCTGGGTTCGGTTTTAATCGCAGCGGCTGAAAGACCGAAAAAAAAACCGCGCTGAGATCCCTCTGGCTCTTCCCGCTGCGGCTGGGCCGGAGCTGGAGGTGTCCTGGGCAGCGCAGCCCGGGATGAACTATTGGGGGGGCACTGGGAGAGTGGAGGGGTCCGATGAGCATCTGATAATTATGTCGTGGTATTCGCAAAATTTCCAGTCTTTCCGGCCAACGCAGCTTTCTGTGGGAGGAGGGAAACGGGAAAGCAGAGAAAAACAGAGAGGCACAGAGAGATCGGTGTGGAATGTGTGTGTGACGAGAGGGGGAAACGAAAAATAGAGCAGCGAAGGGTGTGGGGAGAGAGAGAAAGAAAGAGAGAAAGAGAGAAAGAATCGAGAGAGAAAAAGAGGAAGAATTGAAAGAGAAAAAAAAGAAAAGGAGGAAAATAAAAAAGGAAATGAGAAAAAACGGGAAAAGAACAAGAGGAGAGAAAGCGAAAAAAAAATAAAAGCAAAATGAGAAAAACGGGGGGAAAAGAGAACAAAAATAAGAAAAAAAAAAAGAAGAAGAAAAGCTGGGGGGGGAAGAAAGAAAGAAGACAAACAGAGAAAAAAAACGGAAAAACAGAGAAATACAGAAAATTAGGAAAATATAAAGGAAAAAAACAAGAAGGAATAAAAAGGAGAAAACGGGGGGGGAAAATTAATAAGAAAAGCAGAGAGGGGAAGATCGAGGGAGAGAGAACGAAGGCAACAGAGAGGCGGGGGGGGTGGAAGGGGCAGCCGTGCCCGGTGGCCACAGGCGAGGCGGGGGCTCGGGACGGGGCTGGGGGCGGCCGGGCCCGGCGGGGCCGCGCGGTTCAGCACCCTGGAGAGCTCCACCGGCACGGCGGGCGGGACGCGGGGACACCGCGGGGGACGCGGCCGTGCCAGGGCCAGGCAGGGCTCGGGAGGCCCGGCGAGACCCGGCGCTGCTCGGGGCCGGGGTCCCAGAAGTGCTCCTCCATCGCGGGGCTCGGCCCTGCCGAAGGCATCGCTGTCAGATCCGTCCTGGCGCGGGACTCCGCGCCCACTCGGGTCGTGGAAGGGAGGGAGCAGCGTCCCTGCTCCGCTTTCCTCCCTTCACCCTTCCCGGTAAACCGCTCCCCCCTTCCCGCGGAGCTGCCCCCCCCACCTTGTAGCCCCCCTTGGCCCGGCGGTACGCGAGGCTCTGGGGCGCGCTCAGACCCCCCGTGTGTCCCCCCCGTGTCGCCCCACGGTGCCCGTGAGCAGGGAGGCGGGAGCGCTGTAATCCCTCATCCCGCCCGCAGGTGCGGGCCGTGCGCTCCCCCCTCCCTGTTTCCCAAGCGAATCCAAAGGAGGGAGGAAGACCCGGGGGGCGCAGCCTGAGGGGGTCACCCCACGCCCCGCCAGCTTTGGAGGTCCCGTGTGCGGGGGGTACCCGGGGATACCAGCGCCCTGCTCAGCCCCGACCCCCGACGGGAGCACAGGGGCGAGCCCCCCTCCCCTCCCTGCCTTGCAAACAGCACCGCAGCCCCCGGCTTCAGCCCTGCCCCGCCGTGTGCCCCCCGACCCCCCCGCTCCGGGGGCTTCTGCCCCGCCAGGGCGGGCTCCCCACGCACCGGCTCGCTCCGTCCCGCCGCTGCTATGCGGAGCTCCGCGGTTGCCGCCGGCTTTTCTCATGCAGATTCCCTCTTTCACACCTCCCAAACAAAAGCAAACGGGGGCATCGCCTCGCCGTGTCAACACACACGCTCATTAGCGGGGAGGCGGCGGGGGGAGCGGGTGGGAACGGCTCGAGCAGCCCCTCCGGGGGGGCGGTCGCATCGACGGGAGGTTGTAGCGGGCCGGGGATCACCCGAGGAAATTTGGAGCGAGTTCTTTGCCGCGTGCCCCTCAAGTCACTAAGTTTCCGAAGGTCTGGGTTTGCCTGTCTCCGCTTCGTTTTATCGCAGCACACGCTGCTCACAGCCAGGCTTTGCCCACCCGCGACTCGGCATCGCGGGGAGCGGCAGCCGCGGGACCCCGAGCCGCGGGCGGGTTAGCCCCGGGGAGCCGTCGGGGAGGTGGGAATGCGGCCCCAGGATCGTGCTGGAGCTAGGAGGGGCTGGGGGGGCAATTAAAGCTTCACCAATTACCGCGACCCTCGGTGGGGGGAGGGGGGGAAAGGGGGACTGATTAAAAATGGCAATGGGGGGGCGGGAGGCGACTGGGGAAAGGTGAGAACAGCAGGGATAAGCGGCACCTCGGTGGCTCTGGCTGCCCCCCAAACCCGAGAGCGGCAGCTCCGGCCGGGCAGGGGTCCCGGGGGGTGTCGGGGCGCTCCGGGGGCCGCGCTCCCCACCGAGCTCGCACCGACGGGTCTCCGAGCTCCGTGGCCGCCGGCGGTACCCGCTCCGCTGCCCCCGCCCGAGGTTTTTGGTGTGTCTTCACTTTTGTTTGGGATTTTTTTCTTTTTTTTTTTTTTTTGTGTGTGTGCGCGCGTGTATGTGCGTGTGTGATTTGGTTTGTTTCCCTTTTTTTCCCCCGTTAAACCGCCTCAAAGGAGCCCGGTCCCGCGGCCGCTCCGCCTCTCCCGCGGTTTCTCCCTGCTGCCGGCATCGCCGTCCGTTTTGTGCCTTTTCTTCCACCGAAACCCCGTACCGGAGCTCGGAGGGAAGGAAGCAAAAAATCCGTTAAAAATAAGAAAGCGGGGGGAAAACCCAAATTAAAAATCCCCCGGTTGTTCGTTTGCATTTGGGCCGCGGTGGGGTCGCGGGGGCTGGTTTGTTTGTTTTCTTTTTCACACCCCCCGGCGATTCCATAAACACCCGTGGGGAGCAAAGAGCTGGAGCATCCCCTCTGCCCGGCACCTTCCGGAGCCCTGGCGAGGGATGGGGAGGAGGGAGGAAAGGAGCTGTGGGTCGGGGGGGCCCGGCTGGCACCGTGGGGGCTGCGTGGGGCTTTGTGCGCGGGGCGGGGGTGCCGCATTGTTTGCCGGCGCTGTGAACACGCACACTCGCACACACACTCACACTCACCTCGTGTCCCCCCGCCCCAATAATACGGAAATTTCCATGTCCCAGCTGCCTTCCCCTTTTAACCTTGGTATTAATTTAGGACGGATCTTTTTAAACAGCCCTGTAATGCATTCAGACGCTGCTGGAGGTTTATCTTTTTCTTTTTTTCTTTTTTCTTTTTTTTTTTTTTTTTTTTTTTTTTTTTTTTTTTTTTTTTTTTTTTTTTTTTTTTGTACCGTGGGTTATATTTACACCCAAAACAAAATAATTACACTTTTGTTGGCGAGAGAAAGCTGGTGATTAGACTGTGGCTCTTTGCAGCAAACCCTTTCTCAGTGGTACACCAGGACAATTTTTCACGGCTGGGTGAAATCAGACGCGGGAGGTAATGAATCCTGTGAGCTATTTAAATTTACAATTTGTAACGCAGTCACTCAGAAACGCCTATGGCCCGGCGAGGAGATGCTTGCTGGGTTTGTTTAATGTTAAAACCTGCCCCGTCCCCCCTCTTACCGGGGGAAAGGAGGGGAGCGCGGGGGGAGCAGCCTCGCCCGCCGGAGGAGCGCGGAGTGGCGCGGAGCCGCCGCCTCCCACCGCGCCCGGGCTCGGCATCCTCGGGCCGGGCAGAGCCGCGGAGCCCGGCCCCGCTCCGCGCTCCTCCGCGCTCCTTTTCACCGCGTAGGTCGCCGCCTACAACCCCCAAAATAGTTGGAAATATCCACAAAGTCGGCGGCGGAGCATCCGAACAGATAGATAATTAATTACAAAACACAGGGGGAATATGCAAACCGCGTATTACAAATTCTACAGGGCTTAACTGATTGGAAACAGATTATTATCTTGTTTGTCTTTTGTCTGTTTCACTTATCCCTCTGCCGTCTGTTGTGTTGTAAGTTGATACACTTTATTCTTGAAAGGGGATTTTTTTTTTCCTTTAATAATATAGTAAATTCCATCAACATCTTGTATAAGCGACGCTGCTTCTCCACGCATTACCCTGTTAAAACACAAAAGGTTTATTAGTTACATATAGGCGGTATTATGGGGCCTGAATTACCATCTGTTACCATGAGGGAATGTGGCTGGGAGGGGGGTGTTGCTTGGGGCTTGTGAGGTGGTTTTTTTTTCCCTCCTCCCCTTCCCCTTGGATTTATTTATTCCTTGACTTTCAAACGAAAAAGGGAGCCGAGCGCGGCCGCGGGGAGCGGGACCCCCCGGCATCGTCCCTCTGCATGGGGGTCCTCAGCTGGGGGTCCCGGCTCGGTGGCGGGGCGGGCTGGGGAAGCACCGGGCGGCAGGGAAGGGGACCACGGCCGTGTTCGGGGCCGTGGGAGCGGGACACGGGGGCGCGCAAGGCCGCGGGAGGGGAGCGCGAGTGCGCGGGCACAAGCGAAGGTGCGGGTGTCGCCTCCCGCACCCTTCGCGGACCATCCGTGCCACCTAAGATTATCCATACGATTACCCATAGGAGCGCCTCACGGCGCGGGACGTGGCGCACACACACACCCACTCCCGCACTCCGTGGGGCAACCCCGAGCCGCCCCCCCCGCGCCCGCCTTCCCGCGTGGGACGGGCAGCCCGCGGTGCCTGCGAGCGGGGCTCTGCCGCGGGCTCACGGCCACGCGTGTGCGTGCGGAGACGGTCCTGTGCGCGGGCATATTCCCCCGCACAGACACGGGTGCCGCCGCGGCTCTCCACAGACTCCACGGACTCCATACGCTCATCCCGGCGGGTTTGAGCCGCGCGGGTTTTCTCCGCGCTGCGGGGCCGCAGCGGGGCCTGCCCGGTGCTCCCGGCGCTCCCCGTGGCCTGTCCCCGCTCTCGCGCTGCCCTCGGGTCTCCTCCCGAAATCCGTGCAGGCTGCGGCAAGAGAGGCCCCCGCATAGCCCCACACAGTCCCGCGGCTTCCAAATGCCCCAGAAGAGCCCAGGGACTCCCGCAAACTTGGGCAGAGCCCGACGGGAGCGCGGCCGCGATCGGTCGCGAATCCGGTCCCTTCTCCTCCTCTTTCCCGTGCCTTCGCCTTTCTTGCCCGTTTCTCCCCTTTTTAGCTCGCCGCAGTTTTAATTTTCTTTCTTCTCTCTTCCCTGGATTTTTTCCTTCTGTCTTTGTTGTATTTCTTTTCCCTCCTCTTCCTTGCTCGCTCGGTCTGGAGCTTTTCCCTCGCGCTTCCTTTTTGGTTTAAATTCTTTTTCATTCTCTCCGTTCTTTTTATTTCTTTCCTCAGTTTAATTTTCCTCTTTCCTTCTTTTTTCTTCATTTTTCCTCGTCTTATTTCTTCCCTTATTTATTTATATTTAATTTTTCTTTCGTTCATTTATTCCTTTTTTCCTTCTTTTCATTTCTTTTATTTCCCCTTCCTCTTCTGTTGTTTTTCCTTCCATTTCATCTTACTTCCTTCCTTTTCTTTTTAGTTTCCGTTGATTTGTTTTTCTTCAATCTCCCTTTCTCTTTTACTTCCTTTTCCCTTCTCTATATGTTTTTCCGCACCCATTTTCTCTTTTTCCTTCTGTGATTTCTTTTGTGGTTTTTCTCTATTTATTTCCCTTTTCCTTCTCTTTTTTTCCCCCCGAATCTCTTCTCTCTGTGTATTTTCTTGATTCGATTCTCGCTCTTTTCACAAACGCCCACGGGCACGTACAAAACGTCCTCCACTTCCCGACGATACCCTTGTGCCGTGGCGGGTTCGTTAAGATTTTTGGGGTGGATTTTTTTTTGCCGGTACCGGGAGGGTTTCCCGGCTCCGGGATGCTCCGCGGCCGCGAAATGCTCCGGGCCGGAGCGAGGAAGAAGAAGAAGAAAATATATGTATATTTTTATATACAAAATTTTAGATTTTAGCTGGAGAAAAAGACGGAGAAGGGGAATGGAGGTCCGGCCTTTACCTGCCCCACCGCCTTCTTCCTCTTCCCCGCACGGCCGGGCCCCAGGGCCACCCCATCCCCTCCCTAAATCCCCGGGAAATGGAGGGAGAGGCGGCGTGGCCGCCCCACACACCGACCCCGCTGGGAGCCCCTGGATGGGGCAGCAGCCCCCCGGCCCCAGGCTGGATCCCCCCCCTCATAACCTCCCCCGGCCGGGTCCGGTCCTGCCCCCCGTCCCTCCCGCGGGTCACAGCTCGGCCGCACCTGGAATTAAAGAGAAAACACAGTGTGGGAGGGGGTAGCGCCCGCCGCCCCCCGGGACACCCCCCGGGCCACCCCCCCGGGCCACCCCCTGCGCCCTCTCCCCCCTCGGAGCGGGGAAGGGGCGGGGGGTGCGCCGGGCCCGTGGGACAAAGGCGGGGGGGCGGTCGGGGGGCCCGCATACCTCCGGGGGAACTTTTCATCCCACTACGCTGCGGGAAGGAGCCCCCGGCCCCCTCCCCGTCCCCACCAACCCCTCCCCCCCTCCCAAATCCACCCCCTCTCTTTTTTTTCCCCACTTGTTGCTCTTCCAGACAGAAACATCTTTCCCCCTCGTACGAAACAAATATAAACCCCCCAAACCAGGTGATGCCGTCCCCCGGAGCAACTCGGGACCCCCCGATTCCTCCCCGAGCATTCCTTTAAAAGAAATAAACAACAAACGAAAATAAAAAAATCAAAGGAAAAACTGTGGGACGGCGGTTTTTCGGCGGTGCCCCCCCGGCCCCCCAGCCAGGTGCGTACTCACTTCGCGGCCCAGGTACAAGCCACCCTCAACAATAGAGGCGCGTTGTTTTTTTCCCTCTGTGCCAAGCACAAGGCTGGAGCCAATTTAGATATGCTATAAATTAAGAGGTTGCCATGGCTACCGCCCCGCCATTGGCAGCATCCCGGCTGACGCGGCCCGCCACGTCACCAAATCTGAATAAGGATGCGCGAATTACTAAGGCGGGGGACAAAGCTGGCGATGGGGACAGCATGAGAGTGGCGGCGCGGCGGCGGCGGAGCACAGCGAGGCACCGGGGCTGCCGGCTGCAGGGGGGGGTTCATGCACCCCTCCCGCCGCGCCCGCTGCCGCAGAGCCCGCCAGCAGCGCGGCCGCCGCTCCGGCGGCTCCCGGGCCGCTCCGCAGGCACCGGAGGGGGATTTGGGGGGGCTTTTAGTATTATTGTTATTATTATTTCTCGGGGGTGGTTTGGATTATTTTTTGGGGGGGCGTCGTTTTTTCCCTCCCGTCGTCGAGGCTCCGGAGAGAAGAGGGGGAAGAACTTGACAGCCGCCCCGCTCCCCTCCCCTGAATTTTTTGTTATTCCCTCTTCTATATTTTTTTAATTTTTATTTTATTTTATTCGATTTTATTTTGCTTTCTTTTTTTATTTTGTTTTTATTTCCCTTTTATTTTGTTCCTTTTTATTTTATTTCTTTTCGTTTAATTTCGTTTTATTAAATTTTTTATTTTATTATTTTTTTCCTACAATTTTTTTTATATATTTTATTTTATTTTATATTATTTTCCCCTGTTAGCGGGGAGGGTTTTGCCTTTTTTTTTTTTTTTTTTTTTTTTTTTTTTGCCGCCGCCGTGTGCCGGCGCGGGTCTGGCTTCTCCTTTTGCGCGTCTCCATCCCCCGGCGGAGGTTATGATGGTGCATTGTGCGGGCTGCGAGAGGCCGATTTTGGACCGGTTCCTACTGAACGTCTTGGACAGAGCATGGCACATCAAATGCGTCCAGTGCTGCGAGTGCAAGTGCAACCTGACCGAGAAATGCTTCTCCAGGGAAGGGAAACTCTACTGCAAAAATGACTTTTTCAGGTGAGTCGTCACCCCCCACTCCAACCCCGCCAACGGGCAGCGGAGGGCGCGGAGATTCACAACGAGCCCGGGCTCTGCTGCCTCCCTGGGGTCTTCCCGGAGCTTTGGGGGAGCTCAGCTCCCCTCCCGTCCCTCCCTGCCGGGGCTCCACACCGAGCCTGCCCCGCCGCTCCACGGGGCAGCAGTGCCCGGCCCGGGGAAGCCCCGGGGGGGACCCGGCGGCTGCGCTGCGGCCGCTGCTGCAGCCTGAGGAAGGGGCAGCGAGGCTGTGCCCCCCTCCCCAGTCTCCCCATGACCTTCCTCGCAGAGCCCCGGGCCCCGCTCCGCCGGTGCCGCCGCCCGCCCCGTCGCGTCAGGCCCCGGTGGGCACCGCGGCTGCGGCCCCGTGGGTCCCCCCCTCCGGGACCCGGCCTGGCGCTCCTCGCCCCCCCTCCCGCCACCACAGGCCCCGGTGAAATCGGTGGTCAAAACCTCCCCCGCCGTCCCCCCGAGGGGACCCGCATCTTAAACGCCCCTAATGACCGCGATAAGGTGCCGCTGAGGAAATGAGGGACCGGGATGGGAAGGGGGGGGCAAATGACTTATGACTCCTAATGCTCTCACTACATCAACGTCACGGGGAGCAGCGGAGGAGGCAGAAGTTGTGCCGCGGCCGGAGGGGAAAAAGGGGCGACCCTGCTTGGCGCCCCGGGGCCTGGCAGCCCAGGGGGACCTCGGGAACCACGCAGCGACAGCCCCCGCTCCCGGTTCTGGAGGCAGATTTTTTGTCTCTGGGGGGTTTTTTTGTTTGGTTGGTTTGAGGGTTGGGGGGGGGGGGGGTTTGTTGTTGTTGTTTTTTTTTTTGTTTGTTTGGTTTGGGTTTTTTGAGTGGAATTTTTTTGTTGTTTTCCTTTGTTGTTTTTTTAATTATTTTATTATTTTGTTGTTGTTGTTTTGTTGGGGGTTATTTGGGGGGTTTGTAGGGTTTTGGGTTTTGTTTTGGAGGTTTTCTGGCTTTTTTATTTGTTTGCGTTTATTTTCTTTTTCCTTTTTTTTTTTTTTTTTTTTTTTTACCTTGGGAGATCTTTCCCAGCTGATTCAGATTCCCTGGAAATATTTTTTTTTTTTTTTTTAAAAAGGCACTCCTGATAAAAAAATCCAAACAAAAAAAACACGAACAAAAAAAAAAAAAAAAAAAATCAAACAAACCCGCTCTGGGAAGGAAAAGATAATCGGAGATTTGCAAAGCCTTCTCCTCGACCTGGAAGAATTCCCCCTCGGGAGAGAGGGACGGGCTGGGGACCAGACGCGGCGCTGGGGACCCCGGGCTACCTTGAGGAGCTCAGCCCCCTCCTCCGCCCGTTGTTCTGGGTGCGCGCTGCCCCTCGCACCCGCCTCTCCCTTTTTCCATCTCTGGCCGTGATTAGCCCCGTTTTCTCCCCGGGATTTTCAGGCCGGAGCTCCCCGTTGCCCTCCCGGGGAGCACCGACTTAAAAGAAATCCCCCCCTGCGGAGCGTCGAAAGGACCCCCCGCCATCCCCTCTCCCCTCCATCCTTCAGGGGCCAAATCCGGGCGAGGATGCTCATGTGGGATCACCCCAGACCCGCGCTCTCCCCGCAGCCCAGTGCCGGGGCTGCGCGGGGATGAAGGCTCTCCTCATCCTCCTCTCATCCTCGCCTGCTCCCCTAAATCTTCCAGGGAGAGATCTGGAGGATCGGGCTCCCGCGATGGGGTTTGAGGAGGGGGATTCGGTACGGCTCACACACAGCCCATCGCCGCCGGGGCTCCAGCTCTCGCTTTTCTCCCCCTTCCCAGGAGGTTTGGTACCAAATGCGCCGGCTGCTCCCAAGGGATCTCCCCCAGCGACCTCGTCCGGAAAGCCCGGAATAAAGTCTTTCACCTGAACTGTTTCACCTGCATGGTCTGCAACAAGCAGCTCTCCACGGGCGAGGAACTCTATATCATCGACGAGAACAAATTTGTTTGCAAAGAGGATTATTTGAACTCTCCCAGTTTGAAGGAAGGCAGCCTCAACTCAGGTACGAGCGGCTCAGCCCGCCGCACCGCACCGTCCCTGCTGCCGGCACCTCCCAGTGGAGGCACCTCCTGGCAGGGAAGGAGGTTTGGATTTGTGGGATGAGGGGCTGCACCCCGCGGCCAGCCTGACCCCCCCGGTAATTCCTGCCTCCGGCACCGGCAGGAGCGGGCAGCGCCGAGCCTGCCAGGCAGCAGCCCCGAGCTGCCGGTACCTCCCGGCGGAGGCGTCTCTTGGCCGGGAAGGAGGTTTGGATTTGTGGGATGAGCCAGTTGATCCGCGTGGGGAGGGAGGGATTTGGGGTGAAAGCTTTCAAAGCGGGTGGAAGTCTCTGTGATACCCCCCCTCCCCCGCCAGGGATGCGGACACGCGTGGGATGAGCTCTTCCCCCCCTCCCCGCCTTTTGGCTCTTGCCCCACGCACGGCCCCTACGGCAGCGGGGATGCGGGGCGGTGGGGAACCAGGACCACCCTCCGGACTGGCTCGGGAGACCCCCCCGCCCCGGAGCCCCCCTGCGAGTATGCCCTGTCCCCCCGCGCCGTGGGCCTGATCCTTCGCCTCCTTTCACCCAGAGGCAAAGCTCCCATTTGACTTCCTTGGAAGCTGTCTCTGCATCAGGAGAGCAGGGCCAGGCCCCCTCCTGCTGTCCCAGCCATGCCGGGCGCCCCTGCTCACCCCCTTCCGTGGGCTCTCTCTCCGTCCAGCACCCGGGGCCGGATCCTGCCACGCCAGTCAGTGGGGCCGCTGCTGTGAGCGAGGCGAGTAGAGCTTGGCCTTGGGGGGGTGCTGGCTGCAGGGTCCCCGGGGGAGGGATCGGTGGCTGGGGGCGGAGGGTGAGCCAGGCTCCAGGCAGTGACTGGGAACCCCCCAAACCCCGAAAGGGACCAGTTTCATTTTTCCCAGCGGCGCATCCCGCTTCCCGGTGTAAAAGGCGCAGGGGGGAGAGGGGGAGCGTGGGGGGCTGCGGTGGGCTTGGGGAACGCCCCCTCCCCAGCTCCCCCCGGCTGGCATGACACAGTGCACAGGGCTGAATCGGGCAGCGCTTGCCTGGAGCTCTGCGTGATGTTGGGGGGTTGTTGCTTTAGGGGTATCAGGGGGGCAGAGGCGATCTGCACCCCCTATTGCTCTCCAGCACCTCCCAACTCCTCTCCTGGAAAGCAGCTGAGCTGGATGGGCCGGGGAGGGCAGAGAAGAGGGGGGTCAGCCTCTCCCCTAAGTCATCCGCCCCCCTCCTTTCCTCTCTGGGTCTCCTTTACAGTGTCCTCATGTACAGACAGGAGTTTGTCCCCGGATCTCCAGGACCCCATGCAGGACGACACCAAGGAGACGGACAACTCGACCTCCTCGGACAAGGAGACCACCAACAACGAGAACGAGGAGCAGAACTCGGGCACCAAGCGGAGGGGGCCCCGCACCACCATTAAAGCCAAGCAGCTGGAGACCCTCAAAGCTGCCTTCGCCGCCACCCCCAAACCCACCCGCCACATCCGAGAGCAGCTGGCCCAGGAGACCGGCCTCAACATGAGAGTCATCCAGGTAGGAGAGCCCCAGGCTGCCGGGAGGGAGGAGAAGGGGTTCTGGTAGGAGCCCAGATAGTTCAAG